AATATTAACATACAAGTTTTTGTACTGATATGTTTTCATGTCTCATGTGTAAATATCAGAATGTCATATAGTTGGAATTACATAGTATGCAACATCTTCAGATTGCCATCTTTCACTTAGCAATATACATTAATGGTTATTTGTCTTGACTTAATAGCTTACTTTTCTTTATTGCTTATAATATTCTGTTGTATGGGTATACCACAGTTTATTTACTATTGAAGGATATCTTAGTTGTTTATAAGTTTTGGCAATTATGAGTAAAGCTGCTGTAAACATCCCTGTGAGGGTTGTTGTATGGACATAATTTTTAACTCATTTGAGTAGACAGCAAGGACCGCAGCTAATGGATCACATGGTAAGAGTCTATTTAGTTTTGTCAGAAACTTTCAAACTATCTTTCAAAGTGTCTGTGCACTTTGCATTCCTATCCAGAGTGAATGAGAGTTGCTATTGCTCCACTTCTTTGTCAGCATTTGGTGTAGTCAGTGTTTTGGTTTTAGTCACAGTTGAGTGTGTAATAGTATCTAATTGTTTTAACTAGCAATTACCTAATGACATATGGTGTTGAACATTTCATATATTTATTTGTCACCTGTATTCTTTTCAAATACGGTATCCAGATCTTTTGCCCATTTTAATTTTATTTACTTATTTTAATTTTATTTATTTGTTTTTTGAGATGGAGTTTCACTCAGTCACCCAGGCTGGAGTATAGTGGCACAATCTTGTCTTACTGAAGCCTCTGCCTCCCAGATGCAAGCAGTTCTTGTGCCTCCCTGTCACGAGTAGCTGGGATTACAGGTGCACACTACCATGCCCAGCTCATTTTTGTAATTGTGGTAGAGACAGGGTTTCACCATGTTAGCTGGGATAGTCTTGAACTCCTGACCTCAGCTGATCTAACCACCTCAGCTACCCAAAGTGCTGGGATTACAGGAGTGAGCCTCCACACCCAGCCTATTTATTAATTTTTTGAGACAGAGTTTTGCTCTGTCACCCAAGCTGGAGTGCAGTGGAGCAATCTCAGCTCACTGAAACCTCTACCTCATGAATTCAAGTGATTCTCCTGCCTCAGCCTCCTGAGTAGCTGGGATTACAGGCATCCACCATCACACCCTGCTAATTTTTGTATTTTTAGTAGAGACGGGTTTCACCCTACTGGCCAGGTTAGTTTCAAAGTCCTGACCTCAAATGATCTGCCCACCTTGGCCACCCAAAGTGCTGGGATTACAGATTTGAGCCACTGCACTCTGCCCTGTTTTGCCCATTTCTAAACTTGATTTTTTCCTTATTGTTACATTTTAACAGCTCTTTTTATATTTTGGATATAAGTCATTTATTAGATGTGTGCTTTCAAAATATTTTCTCCCGGTCTGTGGCTTTGTTTTTCATTTTCTTAACAGTGCTTTTCATAAAGCGGAAGTTTTTAATTTTAAAAACTTTGTCAAGGATCAGTTGACAATGTTTTTAAAATTAAAAACTTCTGCTTTAATTCTAAAGGTCTACACATAATTCTAGGCTCTCCATTCTATTCTATGTATCTATTTTTTCCATTCTTTTGCCAATACTAATGGTCCAGGTCAGGTGCGGTGGCTCATGCCTATCTCAGCACTGTGGGAGCCTAAGGTAGGCAGATAGCTTGAGCCCATTCAAGATGAGCTTGGGCAACATCGTGAAACCTTGTCTTTACTAAAAATACAGGCAAATTAGTCAAGCATGATGGTGCCCACCTATAGTCCCAGCTACTCAGGAGGCTGAGGTAGGATGACTGCTTCAGCCAGGAGGTGGAGGTTGCAGTGAGCCAAAGTCGCCCACTGCACTCCAGCCTGAGTAACAGAGTGAGATCCTGTCTCAAGGAAAAAAAAAAGAGAAGAAAAGAAATTCTCTTGTGTTTTTTCATGGTCATAGCGGCATTATAGGTTTTTTGGTGTAAGACCACAGAGGTAAAATGCCTTTTCATTATCTATCAAGGGTATATACTATCAACATGATTTATCACCTTGATCACCTGGCTGAAATGATGTTTGCCAGGTTTCTGCACCATAAAGTTAATTCTTTTTTTCTTCTTTCTATACTATTATTTTTGGAAGATAGTCACTATGAGCAGCCCACACTCAAGAAGTGGAGAGGTGTTCTCTTCCTCTTTGAGGGCAGAGTGTTGATATAAATTACTTGGAATTCTTCTGTTGGATAGACTTGCCTCTTTATCTTCATTCATTTATATATTTAATCATTTATTTATATCTGCGTATGTTTGTGGATATTTATTTTACACTTTTTGTTATAATCCAGCATGTTTTTAAAAATTTTGGTGATTAAATTATTTCAGCTTTGGCCACTAGGAGCTGTTTTTGTTGGCTTTGGTGTCCCTTTGATATATCCACTTCAATATAGGATTTCTCTTACACACACACACACATACACACACACACACCCTACTTATTTTCTGGCACTGCAAAATGCTCCAGGCTCACTTTTAATATTTTATATTCTTGTCCCAGAAGTGTCTGTTTTCTCAAGGAGCACGGATGCCTTTTATTGGGGAGTGATATTAGAAGCCAAGCTCTGGGCAGTAGGTATGCTCATTGCTATGGGTATGTGATTGCTTCTAGGCCCTCTCAGCTGACAGAACAAAGAAATACATGCATATATTACTAACCTGTGTGTATACACATAACTATAAACATTACTCTATGTAATTATCTGTATCTATATTAAGCTAAGCATGTGTTCACACTGTGTCTTTGACCATAATTCATCACCATATGGATGATTTTAATCACTCTCCCTTGCTTACCTCTAACCTCCCACTCTAACTGTAAGAAATCTGGCTCCCACCCTATGTCATTCATTTAGTTGTTTAATTCTCATATATATATTAAATATATACATACACATATGTGCACACACACATATACACAGACACATACACACACATATACACATATACTTTTCTTTTATTATTCCTACTGTATGCATTTTTGCTTGAAAGTATAGTAAATACAGTGGGTAACTACGTAGTTAATCCTGTGTTGCTAATATAAATAAAGTGAATACTTTTTTTTAGCCTCTCATAGTTGAGAACTTTAGTAGCTCACCTCTACTCAAAGAAACCTCTGGAGTCTTAGTGACAGCAACTCAGTACAATTTCTTTAGAGGCTAAATAGCTAACTAAATCTTTAATCACAGTCAAATTGGCATCATCTCTAACTTCCTCACGTTTGTTGTGTAAATCTTTGTTTGTTGTGTAAAAATGCACAGATCCCATGTGAAGGAAGAGAAAGTAATAAAAATATTTCAAAATAATAAAACTAAGTATATCATCTATTGGCATTCACTACATGATCATATGTTTTCACATTAAATGGGAAAATAAGAAAAGAACAGTTCATTTAATGAAAGGAAAACTTTTTTAAAAAGTGGCATCAATTTTTAGCACATATTATAGGCTATTTTCACATTTAAAAAAAATTTTAGATGATGGTGGAAATGTAGGAAGTAACTAATATTTAAAACAATTGTCTCAGTGTTCTGATTTTCTGCTAGTGATTAGATGCAATAGGTTCAATCCTGAACTCTGCACATCCTTCTCATTGTGATTTGGCTCTTGAGATTGAGTCTTTCCTGGGGCAGCATCCAATATTCCTTTTGTGGTAATTAGCTGGAACAAGCTACAGTCTGGCTTTCTGAAAAGAACTGAAAACTTGGGAGAAGGAACAATTGTGACCACTGGGTTTTGGGATTCCATGATTCGTGATTCTGTCACTGTCCCATTTAACGGACTGCCTTTTTGTTTTCTTTTTACATTGCCCATGAAGCATGATCTGGAATTCTGCCAGAAACCACTTACACTGTCAATAGTTTTTAAAGCTGTTCTTCCCTTTGACTAGCAATACTTTTCTTAAATATCAGGAATATGAGGTTGACCCCCTTCAGAAGTTTCAGAAATGTATTGCTGTATTGAAGTGGCTGAAATTCTAGTTGGTATGGAAGGTAAAGTGATGAGCAATAAATTGAAATACCCAAATGTTTTCTTACTATAACAGTCATTTTATTTTCTTCTAACTTGGTAGGCTTAATATTTTTAGATTCATGATAAAAAAGCCAGAAGACATTTGACCGTCACTCATGGACTCTAGGCGTTGATAAGGTCATTTAGGTAGTCTGCATGACTTCAGTGAAAACCTTTGGATCTTAGGATAAAACAGGTCTTTGAAAGTTTATTCCTGCCTGGTCAGAGCCACCTGATGCTTAGAAATAGCTACCGGTACCTCTTCAGCTGCTTATTAATAGTTTGATCTAAATATGTCACTGACCTTTTTATAGTTCCATTTTTTCACCTCTAATGTGGAGAGAGAACTTCCCTAGAGGGCCCCACTGCCCACAAGAGCACTTTGAAAAGTGTGAAGACATTGCCTGCTCTGAGGTCTGTTGCTCTCAGTGAGTTGAAACCTGATCTTTCCCTGATGTAATTCTTTGCCTGACCATCCGTGAACCGTGTCCCATGAAAGTTGTTACACTCTGGTGGTACCTAGGCTGTGCCACTGGTTTATGGAAATTGGATCAATGTCCATGAGTTTTAAATCTATTGAGAGCTCAAGTAATAAGTGACTATTTTATCATGACAGCTGATTTATAACTACTTAGAAGAATTGTATTTGCTCCCTTTATATTAGCCGTGTCTAAATAGTTTCTGCAGTGTTTTTAAAACAGTGATTTTTTCAGGAGTCTAATAGATATTTTATGTATAAATATATAATTTTAATTGCTGCACTATCTATTCTAATTTATTAGGTGTATTTAAGATTTTCTCAAAAGGAAGGTTCGGAGGCCAGTGACATTTGAAGAAAACCTTATTTTACAGCTTAGTTTTCAACAGTCTTGCTCATAAGAGTTTTTCCTTATATCAAATTCGCTCGTTTTATTTTGCAGATGTATGTCATTTATTCTTTTAAAATACATGACCTTTTCTTTGGCAACATAGTGTGATACTGAGAGAAAAGAAAGAATGCAAGGAAAACCATGGCATACTAACTAAAAGTTAGGTACATTAGCAGCATCTAGTACCTGTTAGGGGAATTACTTCTTAAAGAATGAGGTCCATCTTGAAATTTGGCATATTTTTTTTAATAGAGAACCTTTTTTTGATGGTATATTTAATAACCTGTTACACATACAATTGTACTGTCTTCATTACAAATAAACTACATAGCTTTTTCTTTGCATAAAAATTTCCTCATAGCTGTTTGCTGTTATCTTTGTTTAGAAAGAAGATGATTATTAAGTATATTCGGCAATAATGAGATTTCCTTATGCTGCTTGCAAAATCTAATTTGTATAATATGTAGACTAAAGAGAGGAAGAGAAAGAACGTGGGAGAGTACAGGGGAAAAGCTACATGCCATACAATATACAGTATTTGCTGTTTATCACTGACCCTGTGCTCAGTATGAATGTGCTTAATCTCATAAAATATGACAGACTTACCAAGTTAAGAGTTACTAGACTTGCCAGTGTAAGCCTACTTTACCAAGCTTTGACTAAAGTTGCAAAAATCTCATTTAAATTGTCAAATTTGTTTAAGAAGTTTGATTAATAATTGTTGTACTATTATTCTTTGTTTAAATTTACTTCTGCTGTTTGTTTTTGAACTTCTAAAACATTTAATTATATGAAATTTTAAACTATACAATTGAAGAAAATTTATCTTAAAATAAGTTTTAAGGTAAAATATATGACTTATTTTTAACCCATGTGTTTAAATTTACCTATGAAATATTTTGTTTGCTTTTGCCTATCATTTTTCAGGAATCTTCTCCTAGTCTGTCTTTCTAAGTTGTCAAGCTTTTTTGATTATAAACAATGATACTGCTTTAGTCTGTGAATTTAGATTTCTTCCTTTTCTGAGACTTCTGCCCCATGAAATATAATGTTGGGATTTCTTCGTTCTTCATTTAGAGATATCAGAACATGTACCTGAATATTGTATAACACATAGAGAAACAGTATTAGATTTCCCTGAACATAGTAGGTACTCAATGATCTCTGTAGTTTATCATTAAAACATGAAACTTACCATTAAGTAGTCATTTCTGTAAGTTCTTCACTGTGTTTTTAGACAAAGAGCGATTCTACTCTGTATACCTCCAGAATCCCCTCGTAGAAGAAACCAAGTAGTTCCCACCAAGTAACTTCAGCCATCCCAATGACAGAAGATGGTCTGCAGTTTCATTCACAGAAAATTAGTGTTTCTTTTTCTCTCCCCTCTTCCCCACAACCACATCAATATTGAGTCATTTTAGTCATTTTAGATCGTGCCATTTTATCTGTGAAATTCAGTGAACTAAATATTTTGGGTATGTACAAAGAAAAAATAATTATGATGTATTTTGTAAAATGTATAATATCACTAATATTATTGCAATGCGTAAGTGACATAAAATCAGCCTTCTTTTCTCTTATATCTATGTAGACCCTAGAGAGTATTCAGCAAACGAGAACTCAGTCCTTAGCAGTGATAAACAGTATTGTTTGTTCTCTACCATACAGAGTTGTTTGTTTATACCATGTATCAAATCCATTTGTGAAACCACAGAGGGTGTTGAAGTGGCTCTTTATAAGCAATAGAAAATAAGTGGAGTGGTTAATCTGTGGTGAGTTAGCAGTTAGAGACTGCTAATGAAGTTACACTCATTCCAAGATGTCTTTTAGTGGGAGAGAATGTGACAAGGACAGAAAACTTATATTGGATTATCCAGAAAGATAAAAGCAAGTTATGTTGAAAAATTTATCTTGTTTTATTTACATCTTTTATAAGGCCCCAGCTAGTGCAAGAGCCATCTCTGACCTATACAGGAAAAAAAAAAAAAAAAACAGGCAATAAAAAACCAGCATTATCTACCCCCACATTATATTACAACTGTATACAACTACTTAATCCTTCTTTCTCCCGGCAAAAGAAACTAACAGCATGCTAAAAGAAATCTTGACGGGTTTAAGAGCAGTATGGGGATAATTTCAATAATTTGAAAAGATGTTGCTTTCTGTAATAAAAATTGATTCCATTTCTTTTATTTACTTGAATGCATGCTTGTTGTAAACACCTTAAAATTAAATTGAAATGCATCTAATTTATGTTTTTCTGAACTACTTGATTCAGTGTTTTCAACTACATTTGTGCTGGAATTTCCGAGCTATTTATATGTAAATGGAAAGTCGTCTGTAATTGGCACAGGGAGAGCCTGCTAGAACCCAGTAATCTAATCTAAGTTGCACATTTTCCCCTCTCTGTTATACATTCATAATGGCATGTGAGGGCAAACAGCTTGATCCTTATGTCAACATCACTCTCCTCTGCAATAAGAGGAAGAAAAGGGAAACTTTGTTTTAAGGATTAAATGGTGAAATTTTTCTGTGACACATCATCTTAGACTGAGCTGCCAGGTTTTATAGGGAGCAAAAAGATATCATTAACTTCTAACTACTTGGAATAGGAATTTAAATTATTTGCTTCAGGTAGTAGAATGAAGGTACAATTGCACAGTGGTTGTGACTGTTATAAACTTAGTTTTACTGAATTTATTTTATTTTTTAAATGTGTCCTGCTTGAGAGTTTGGTAACAATGACACTAAAACAATTTTTCCGTTTTCACATTTTTCCTAATTTGTGTTTTTCTAAAAAAAAAAAAACTAGCAAAAGGATCTATCAGATAGAAAAGAACATTGAATGATGTTAAACACACACGGCATTTGTTATATGCCTCTTATAAATCATGGACTTTTTAAACTTCAAGTAATCTGAGAAAAAGGCACCTGAATTTCAAATTCCATTCCTGAGCAAACAATGTTAAAACAGATTTAATACAAATTAGTTGAAATGAGATTTGTTATTCATGCCATTCAGTTGACATATCTGGCCATCTATCCATTCATACATTTCTTCAATAAATATCCTGCCATCTAGGCATAAGCACTGGGCTGGTTGCAGGAAGTACAGAAATAAGCAGGAAACTCACAACACCCTCCCAGAGAGGGCTGCCTTGTAATTAGAGGTGTAAGCCAGGTTACATGGTGGAATGAAATCTACTTAAAATTTTACCCATTTTTCATTTTCAGGGATGTCATTGCTCTGTGTTTTTTAGATGGTTAAGAATTAACCATTTAGGTGCAACATGTTTTATTTAGATGCAAATCTTTCAAATATATGACCTCTAAATAGAAAGTATTGGATGTAATCTTTAATGCTTTTAGGATCATAGTTTTGGATATTACAATAGCTGGTTTGATTCTGATTATTCTTATTGGTAAAAATGACTTTTATTGGTGGATAACTCTAGGATTTACCAAGGTTACACTTTTCTCATTTAATCTTCATAATAGCTCTAGGAAGTAGATGAAATGGCTAATCACATCTTATGGATAATGAAACTGAATCTCAGAGAGATTAAGTGTTGAGCCACTTTACTTATTTACATCACCTGCCTGGTGCCTATTGGGCCTCCAAGTTTCTGGTTTGTTCAAAGTTCAAAGTGGTATGTTAGAAGCTAAGAAGTGGTATAACTGACATATTTTCAGAGTGATGTGGGGGATGAGTATGGTGGGAGGATGGGAGTAGGTGAAGGAAGGAATGGAAGAGATAGATTAACCATTTCCATTCCTATTTGAAGAATCTGATAATTTGATAATGGTAATTTTTAGGTAACCACAATTTCTGAAGTTTTTCTCTTTAAAATATGCTGATTTAAATATCCCCGTAATTAAGTCTCTTAATTATTATTTTTTGACAAAAACTAATCATAAACCCTGAAAATGTCTGATGCAATTAAGGACAATTTAAAAGACAAGTAAAAATATGCAAGTTAAAGTCAGGGGTTTCTTTTCTCTGCGATTTTTCTACTCCTAGGTAGAGTAGGAGAGCGAAGAGAGAAGAGGGCTGCCTAGAGAGTCTCCTCTAGAAATCGGCCCCCTCAAGTAGTCAGCCGAGTCCCTGTCAGCTGATGTACCCGAGGAACTACTCAGCTCTGGAAGGAAAGAACTATTTGAAAGTATTAGAGATAACAGTGCCCAGTGTTCACACAAGGCTGGAGATAGTGCTGGTTCCTACCACCTGATTTGATAGCTGAAGATTCACAATTCAGAAGGACCTTACCTTAAGAGTGGGGAGTAATCAGCCCAGATGGAACATTGCTCCTGGAAAAGAGTTTGATAGTTTCCTATGAGGGTAACATACATTTACTTCCAACCATTCCACAACTAGGTATTTACCCAAAAGAACTAAAAGTACATATTCAAACAGTGACAACCCCACACCTTCATGCATTGATTTGTCATAGCTCCAAACTAGAAACAACTCAAATGTTCATCAACAGAGGAATGGATATGCAAACTGTGGTATATTTATACAATTAAATACAACATAGATATTAAAAGGAATAAACTGTTGATACATGATGCAACATGGATGAATCTCATAACAATTATGCTGAGTTTGAAAACCTAGACAAAAGAATATACATGAATTTCCTATTGCCACCATAACAAATTACCACAGACTTGGTGACCAGAAACAGCTAAAATTTATTGCTACACAATTCTGGAGGCTAGAAGTTGAAAATCAAAGTGTTGATAATGCTGCACTCTTTTCAAGGCTCTAGGGGAGAACTGTTCATTTCCTTTTCCAGCATCTGGTGTCTGTCGGCATTCCTGACTTGTGGTTTATGACTCCATCACTCTGCTCTGCCTCTGTCCTCACATTGTCTTTCTCTCTTTATTTCCTCTCTCTGTGTATATCTCTCTAAGGACACTTCTCTTCTATTTAAGGTCCATCCAGATAATCCTGGATGATCTCTTCATATCAAAATCCTTAATCTGAAAAGACTTTTTTACCAAATAAGGTACAATGCCTAGGACCCAGGAATTAGTATGTAGACATATCGTATGGGGGTCACCATTCAACTATCTACACTGTGTCATTCCATTTATACAAAGTTGTAGCAAATGCAAACTAATCTGTGTTTGCATTTGCTACAACTTTGTATAAATGGAATGATCTGTGACAGGGCCTGGAAGAGTACAGGATTTGAGGAAGAGATTACCAAGAGATTCCTAGGAAACTTTCAGGAAGATAGTTCCATTTTGATTATCTTGATGTAATGATAGTTATGTAAGTGGTTACATAAGTCAAAACTTATCTAGTTGTACACTTTAAATATATACTGTTTATTTCATATTATAGCTTAATAATGCTATGTTTTTAAAGGGTAGAAGATGCATTGCTAAAATTTTGCCCCAGAATTTTACTTGTCTTTGTTTCAACCTACATTCTGTATTTTAGTCTCTTTATATGATAAATTCTTGACTAATAATTGAATAGTAGAATTCACATGGCCGGTATTTTTAGATTTCTTCACTTATAGGTTTAATATGGGTATCTACAAATTACTGATACAGTTTGATTTTTCTTAGTTGTGTCTTGAGATTGCAGTTGAATATATCCTGGGCTATTCACCTGTTTCTCTAAATTCGTGATTCTTAACCTTTCTGGAGTCATTTTCCCTTTTGAAAATCTGATGAGAGTCATGGACTCTTCACTCATAGCAACGCATATGTGATTCTAAATGGTTTCATAACTCTCGAAAGCCCATACATTAACCATTCCATCCCCATCATTCATGAAGTTTAAGAATCCATAATTTGAATAAACTTACAAATTATTTTTTGTTTTTTGAGATGGTGTTTTGCTCTAGTTGCCCAGGCTGTAGTGCAATGGCGTGATCTCAGTTCACTGTAACCTCTGCCTCCTAGGTTCAAGTGGTTCTCCTGCCTCAGCCTCCCAAGTAGCTGGGATTAGCTGTGCTGGTAGCTGGTGCCTACCACCATGCCCATATTTTTAGTAGAGACGGGATTTTACCATGTTGATCAGGCTGGTTTCAAACTCCTGACCTTAGGTGATCCACCCACCTTGGCCTCCCAAAGTGCTGGGATTAAAGATGAGAGCAACTTCTCCTGGCCCATAAACTTACAAATTTATATTTGTTTGAAAAGGAGCGTTTTGAGCCACATTAGTCCAGGTGATTTGTTTATATGTTTACCAAGATCATTAACAATGGAATATTTAAGTATTATTTAACAAGGAAATGATGGCATTTTGTGACTGCATGTGTGTTGAGCTGATACAGAAAATGTGTGAAATTGAAAGCTTACTTTCAGTAAACCCTTACATGACTGCAGATGTTAAGCAAGCAACAGAACTTGCCTTCAGGACACTGTTACAAGAGATGCGAAATCTCATCAGGCCCTGCTTCACACATCATATCCTCACGTCCACAGCAGCAAATTCTCGGGGTCTTCTGTGGCCATGTAATGCTGTCAACAGTTTTACTGCTATATTATGAATGACTTTTTTCTACTGAGGGTATGAGTAGTCTGTATAGAGCTGCACAGGTGTTTTTGTATTGTGTCTGGTTCATAGCTCAGAAATGAGTTGCATCTGCTCTGTATATTTGCTATCTTTCTCATTCAATTTCACAACATTTTTCTACAAAAAAAGAAAGAAAGATTAGCATTAATAATGAATGAAATTTATTTTTGATCAGAGTTCCAGGATTTTTTTTAAGGCCGTCTAATATCTGTTATGCAGTGGATTTGTGAAAGAATCAGCAAATTGGTGACAGAGCAATTGGATGTTACGACATGACTGAGTGACCTCCCTGCCTCTGTTTTTAGTCCTGAAGCTATAGGATAGAGATCATCCTTGTGGAGAGCCAAGATTTTTTGTGAGGGTAGACCAGTGTTTCTCATTTTTGTTTTTATCCCAACATTTACAAAGAGGTATTACACATTACTACCATAACAGCAGCTACTCACTAAGATTATTGAGGGAGCAGAGTATCTCAGAACGTCTGAGGAGGAGTAGAGTTTCAAAAGTCTTCTCCTCTCCGAATACCTCTTGGGGTCTTCTTTATTTTCTTGCACCCAGGCTGCAAAAACACTTGTAAAGATTGACTTGTAGCATTGAGTCTGCAGGAAAATCATGGCAACTGAAAGCAAACATTAAGCTAGGGTTTTGTTTCCTTTGTTGGAATGATGGGGGCACTTCATTCTAAGGATGTCATTGTTTCTGAAATTATGATGTCAGAACTACATTTCTGCTCTGCCCAGGCTGCATTCACTCATACCACCCTAGTCTTCTTAGAATTTTTATAGCTAAGCCTGTGACTCACCCATACATAGGCAGGAAATAAGAGATTTAGAAAATGGCTCTGGCTTCAGGCTAGGATTTGTTGGCAGAACAGGGCCAGTTTCGGTTCACTAGGAAGAAGGGTGGCATAATACTCAGCCTAGGTAATTCTACTTAAGAAATGTTGATTGATTAGTGTGAGTGATATGGTTTGGCTGTCTCTACCCAAATCTCATCTTAAATTGTAGCACCCATAGTTCCCATATGTTATGGGAGGGACCCTGTGGGAGGTAATTGAATCATGGGGACTGGTCTTTCCCTTGCTGTGTCAGGAGATCTGATGTTTTGTTGGTTTGTTTTGAATTGGAGTCTCACTTTGTTGCCCAGGTTAGAGTGCAGTGGCACAAGCTCAGCTCATTGCAACCTCTGCCTCCTGGGTTCAGGCAACTCTCCTACCCCAAAGCCTCCTGAGTAGCTGGGATTATAGGCACCCACCACCACCCCTGGCTAACTTTTGTATTTTTAGTAGAGCCAGGGTTTTGCCATGTTGGCCAGGCTGGTCTCGAACTCCTGACCTCAGGTGATCCACTCACCTTGGCCTCCCAAAATGCTGGGATTGCAGGCGTGAACCACTGTGCCTGGCGGATCTGGTGGTTTTATAAAGGGGTGTTCCCCTGCATAAACTCTCTTGCCTGCTGCCATGTAAGATGTGACTTTGTTACTCCTTTGTCTTCTGCCATCATTGTGAGGCCTCCCTAGCCATGTAAAACTGTGAGTCCATTAAAATTCTTTCCTTTATAAATTACCCAGTCTTGGGTAAGTCTTTATTAGCAGCATGAGAAGAGACTAATATAGTGAATGAGGAATCAAATTACAAAGAATGTTTATGATTTATACCTTCTTTCAGATAGAATTTTCTGAGGCTTATGAAAAAATAAGTATCTGCTAAATATAAGAGAAAAGGAATGACAAGTGGGAGAAAGGGAGAAAAGATGAGCTGGGTAGTGGAAATTGTTTTATCTCCTATGAGGAAATAGCTAACCTGTAACTTAAGTCTCTCTTTTGAGTAGTTTCCTGGTATAAATAATAGTGTATTGTTCACCCACCCTTTATATTGAGCAGTATTATATTGAATAATATGGTCACTATTTACTAATCAATTATGTCATAGTTTTTGTCGTTGCACATTATTATTTGGCTAATTAAAGTCAAAGGAGGAAGTACTTCATCTATTTTAATTATTACTAATTTGATATATTTTATTCAAAATGAGCAGAGATATAAGAAATACCTCATGACATACTTTTATTAGATCCCTTTGAAAACAGTTTGAATATACCACTCACTGAAATATTCCAAACAAAAACTGACAGAAATGAAGGGAGAAACAGGCAATTTAACAGTAATAGTTGGAGACTTCAGTAACTCTCTTTCTCTCCCTCCTTCCTTCCCTCCTTCCTTCCTTCCTTCCTTCCTTCCTTCCTTCCTTCCTTCCTTCCTTCCTTCCTCTCATTCCCTCATTCCCTTATTCCTTCCTTCATTCCTTCGTTCCTTCGTTCTCACAGGGTCTTTCTCTGTCACCTAGGCTGTCAGCTCACTGCAGTTTGATTTTCTGGGCCCAAGTGATTCTTCCACCTCAGCATCCTGAGTAGCTAGAACTACAGGCAATGCTACCACAACCTGCTAAATTTTTTGTTTTTGCTGGAGATGGGGTTTCACCTGTTGCTCAGGCTGGTCAGAAATTCCTGTGGTCGAAAGGGGAGTACTAAACACTGGGATCTATTGGGGGGAAAAGGGGAGGGCCAGTGGGAGGGGGAGGTGGGGAGGGATAGCCTGGGGAGAAAAGCCAAATGTGGGTAAAGGGGAGAAGAAAAGAAAGCACACTGCCATGTGTGTACCTACGCAACTGTCTTGCATGCTCTGCTCATGTACCCCAAAACCTATAATCCAATAAAAAATTAAAAAACAAACAAACAAAAAACAAACAAAAAAAAGAAATTCCTGTGGTCAAGCAGTCCACCTCCCTCAGGCTCCCAAAGTGCTGGGATTACAGGCATGAGCCACCCTGTTTGGCCAACAACTCCAATTTAATGTACAATATAGTATAGTAGAATGTAAGCTCCCTGAATGTAGGAATTTCCATCTTGTTTTGTTTGTTTGTTTGAGAAAGAGTCCTGCTCTGTTGCCCTGGCTGGAGTGCAATGGCGCAATCTCAGTTCACTGCAACTTTCACCTCCTGGATTCAAGTGATTCTCCTGCCTCAGCCCCCCAAGTACCTGGGATTACAGGCGCCTGCCACCATGCCTGGCTAATTTTTTGTATTTTTAGTAAAGATGGGGTTTTACTATGTTGGCCAGGCTGGTGTCGAATTCCTGACCTCAGATGAATCACCCGCCTCGGTCTCCCAAAGAGCTGGGATTACAGGCGTGAGCCACTGCACCCGGCCTTTTTTTTTTTTTTAAATTTTTATAGCCCTAGTGTTTAGAATGACATCTAGCACATAGCAGACATGCAATAAATGTCAGTTTAGTAAGTGAGTTATACTACACAAGTGACATCTAAGAGGTATCTACTGAAAGTATCCTTCTGGTGATAAGGGAAGGCTTCATGGAAGAGATAGCATTTTGGCATGACATAGAGATGTTACTGTATTCCAGAAAAAGGGAAAGGTATGAATCAGGAAAGCAGAGGGAATAAAGGTCATTGAGTTGCCTTTCAATTTATGCCCTTACTTCCAATAATTTTTTTTTTTTTCTGGGGATAATAAACAGTGTCACCAGGCCAGGCTCCAGAACCCCTGGTAGTGGGTCTTTTCCAAAGGCACTGGCATTAGCTGCTGATTTATGATGGCTTTTCCAACATATTTTTAACTCTCTAAGCAACAGTCTGACTTTCTTTTGTGTTCCTTTTCAACCTTGTCTTTTCCTTTCTAAAGTCATTTTCAAAGGAAGACAGAAGACCTTGTGTAAGAGGAGGCTAAATCCTTTTTTCTTTCAGTGTGACTTCTTGGTTCTTTGAAAAGTAGGTGGAGTCCCCCTTGCTGGTTGCCTCTCCCTCTCTCTGCTTCCTGGACACCTTACTCCTGCCAATGCTCCCAGGAGGGTGGGGTTGGGACTCTCAGCCACTGCAGTTTCCCTGCTGCGGGGCTGCTCTGATTTCTGACTTCCAACTTTGCTCTCCCTGCCCCTTGCCCTGCTGCCTGAACTCCCTTCAAGCACAGCAAGGATACAGATCCTGGGGCTCTGCAAAAAGTAAAGAACACTGGAGCAAAGACAGCAAAGAGCTCACAGTCACCTTTAGTTCCCCATCCTCCTCCTTCATCAATTTTTTTTCCTCTCAATGCCACCAGATATTTCCTTCATGTAGTGTTGATTTATTTACCTACCGTCCTCATTCAACACATTTATTGACTGTTTACACTGTGCTAGGTGCTCAGAATATAAAGACAGTAATCTCTGCTTTCAAGGAGCAGAATTATCTGAACAGCATCTAGGTATGGAATAACTAGTCATTACAATGGATCCTCTCATTTAGAAGTCATCTATACCCTGGCTAGCTTGAATATGTTCACTAATTCAGTTGATGGTTTGTCTTAGTTAACTGATATAGTCTGCTAGAAAGATTGAACCATTGCAAATGTAGGTGTAGTATTTGTTTTAAAAAATCAATACCGTTGTGAAATGAATATTGATACAAATACTGATGCTTATAATAATAATACTAATTAAAAGACACAGAATTTCTATTGGTTAAAAATATGGACTCTAGCCAAAGTATATGGTCCAAATTTTGGTTTATCCATTTACTTACTACCTATGTGGTATTGAGCAAATCATTTAACTCTGAGCCTCAGTTTCTTTATATGAGAAATGGGAGCAATGATGTTAGCTGTCTGTTGGCATTGTAGGGGTTGTTTGATATTAAATGAGGTTGCACAAAATACTTAGAACAGTGGCTGCTACACACCAAGTGCTGTATGTGTTAGCTACTGCTAAAGTGTTTCTACTTTTTAGGTCTTAATTACCGAACATCTGAGAGTTAATTCCAGTTTGAAGAAGGAAAATGTTTCTTTTCTTTAGAAACTGTCCTGTGTTTTAGGCCTTAGCTTTCATCCACCATTTCATGCTATTTATAAATGAAGGATCCAGAGATTCTATGTATATCATCAAGCACAAGTTGCAATCAATATCATCACTTGCACAACAGACTCGCTAATACGGTGTCCCATTAATACCAAGTTCCATTAACACCATGTCCCACCATGCTGCCTGGTGATTTTAATGAACACCCAGGGCTGCTCTGCCTCTCTGAAAGTTGTCTTGCCACCTTTCAGAACAATATACATATAGGAAATTATTAGATTTCTTCTACTTCTGAAAAATAACCTGAGTTCAAATAATAGTAGAATAATGATGCTGCCTTAGAACTGAAAAATAGAAGAGCAAAGTTTAAGAATAGCTGTAACTTGCAAGTGATTGATAATGTATAGTAGAGCCCAGATGCACTAAAGATATATCTATTGCTTTCATTTGCCAAGATAACTAATAGTTTGTCCAAAAGGTATTGTTAAGTAGGTTTGTTGCTTTGGGAAAGTAAGCCTATGTATATAGTTCAGAATGATATATTTTTATAAAGTCAGGAGTCTTTCTTTCAGCTGAGTATTTTCTCTGACATTGTCTCTGCAGTTTCCCTTCTTCTGGTGGGTCCTACCACGTTCATCTGCCTTCTAGGGAACTTGTCTGAAGCTTCCTGAGCCTAGCTAAATAATGAGGGCTGGGGCCTGAGCTAGGTTTCTTAGCTGGAGAGAATGACAATGAACATAGCACAATGGGTCAAAGCCAGGGAAACCTCCACCTGTCTGGTATGACTGGTAAAGAAAGGATTGTGTT